AAGAAATTGGCTCTAATTTATGATGTTGACAATGGTATACCTGACCAACTTATTGGGGATCCATTGCGTCTAAGACATTTGCAATATCACGCACTTGCGCCGTTAAATTAGAAGCCATAGTATTAACGTTGTCTGTTAGTTCTTTCCATGTCCCCCCAACATCCTTGACGTGTGCTTGGACACCAAGAATACCTTCAGTACCTACTTCACGTGCCACACGCGTTACTTCTGCAGCAAACATACGAAGTTGGTCTACCATGGAATTAACCGTATTTTTTAATTCAAGTATTTCGCCTTTCACGTCTACGCTAATCTTTTTACTTAAGTCACCACAAGCCACGGCCGTCGTGACTTCCGCTATGGATCGAACTTGTGTGGTTAAATTAGCAGCCATAATATTTACGTTATCTGTTAGAACTTTCCATGTGCCCTGTACATCTTTAACTACAGCTTGCCCACCAAGTTTTCCTTCGGTACCAACCTCTAAGGATACTCGTGTTACTTCAGTAGCAAAAGTTTGTAATTGATCAACCATAGTATTTATTGTATTCTTAAGATCCCAAATCTCTCCTTTTACGTCAACTGTAATTTTTTTACTTAGATCACCGCGAGCCACTGCTTTTGACACATTAGCAATGTCCCGCACTTGTGCGGTTAAATTAGCGGCCATGGTATTAACATTGTCCGTCAGTTCTTTCCAAGTTCCGCCGACATCTTTTACTACGGCTTGTCCTCCAAGTTTACCTTCTGTACCGACTTCTCTCGCCACTCTCGTCACTTCTGCTGCAAATGTTCTTAACTGATCTACCATAGAATTGACTGTATTCTTCAGATCTAAAATTTCACCCTTAACATCTACGATAATCTTTTTACTTAAATCGCCTTTAGCTACAGCTGTTGTGACTTCAGCAATCGATCTTACTTGTGTTGTAAGATTTGCGGCCATGATATTAACGTTGTCTGTAAGCTCCTTCCATGTTCCACCAACATCTTTAACCACAGCTTGACCGCCTAATTTACCTTCCGTTCCAACTTCCAATGAAACGCGTGTAACTTCAATGGCAAATGTTTGCAACTGATCAACCATGGTGTTAATGGTATTTTTTAGATCCAAGATTTCTCCTTTTACATCAACAGTAATTTTTTTACTTAAATCGCCACGAGCTACGGCTTTGGATACATTTGCTATATCACGGACTTGAGCTGTTAGATTTGCTGCCATAGTATTTACATTGTCCGTAAGAATCTTCCATGTTCCGTCCACTCCCTGGACTTCAGCCTGACCACCCAGCATCCCCTCTGTGCCAACTTCACGAGCGACACGCGTTACCTCCGCCGCGAACATTCGTAATTGCTCAACCTAAAAAGGTTGAAAATATTTAATATATCATGCAAATCATTGATCTCGATATCAAAAAAAATATATATATATATCTATAAATGGATATACCATAGTATTGATTGTGACTTTCAATTCCAAAATTTCGCCTTGTACAGGCACAGTAACTTTTCTTGATAGATCACCACACGCGACAGCTTTACAAACCGTGGCGATATCACGCACTTGATTAGTCAGATTAGATGCCATAAGATTTACATTGTCGGTCAAATCTTTCCAAATACCACCAACATCTTTAATATTCGCTTGACCACCCAGTTTTCCTTCTGTGCCTACTTCAAGGGATACTCGAGTGACTTCAGTGGCAAAGGTTTGCAGCTGTAGTTAAATGAATGAATTACCTAGGTGATGAATTCTATTCCGTATTTATGTTAACAAATAAGCAAATTTAATATAATTTTACCTGATCAACCATAGTATTTATTGTATTTTTAAGGTCCAAGATTTCTCCCTTGACATTAACAGTAATCTTTTTGCTAAGATCACCTCTAGCGACAGCTTTAGACACATCAGCAATATCACGGACCTGAGCAGTAAGGTTTTCGGCCATTGTATTGACGTTATCGGTTAGAAGTTTCCATGTTCCATCAATATCTCGAACTTGGGCTTGTACACCCAATTTACCTTCAGTGCCGACCTCATGAGCAACGCGAGTGACTTCAGAAGCAAATGAATTCAATTGATCAACTACAAATATATGATAAGTATGTTAATATAAAAGGTCGTTCAATCATTTGAATCCATCATTATTAGGAACACTTACCCATGGTATTAATTGTGTTTTTCAGGACAAGGGTCTCTCCTTTTACCTCAATGGTAATCTTTTTACTAAGATCACCGTGAGCGACGGCGGTACATACCTCAGCAATATCTCGCACTTGTTTAGAATGGTTACTGGCCATCATATTCAAATGAATCATCATGTCTCGCCAGTCGCCTTCCAAATTTTCACTTTTAGATTGCACTCCTAATTTGCCTTCCTCAACGACCTCACGAGTAACATGGATTAACTCGACAGATACACGATCGACTTTATCAACCATGCTATTAATCGCATTTCTTAGCGTTAGCATTGGGCCGGATGCGGTTTGACAAGTAACTCTTTTTTTAAAATCACCATTAGTAATGGCGATTGCGACGCTTGTACATTGATTAATGCATTCTAGACAAACTTGATCATCTTCCAAAGTAGGAGGGGTACTAGGGGGACTAACCGAATCAAAATCGTCATCACTTTTTTGATTATTTATAACGGGTTGATAATTTGTTGCTTCAGCGGGATAATCATTCTCAAGAACGGATTGTTTTACGAAATCTTCATTAGGTGTAATAGGTAAGGAATTATTATCGTTAATAATGATTACGGAATCATTTTCACTTAATAATGACTGATAATGGGCGACCTCTTTTTCTAAATGAACTTGTCGTTCTAGAAGTTTTCTCAAGATAGTATCAAACTTTTCAATTTGCTCATTATGTGGTCCTTTATAACATAAAGTCTTGCAATACTCTACATTGCCATCATTAATGTTTTGAAGGACGTCGTTAACGTACCCGAGAACGTCCGTCATGTATGTGAATAAAATAGAACGGGGGATTTTTCTTGTTTTAATTTATTTAAAATAAATTATGGAACCCAACTCGTTGTAATTTTTAAAAAGTTTTAGAAACCAAAAAAAAAATTGAACCTAGTGTTTGTAATGTGAGAGTAATATTAAGAAAAGGTTTGCAAGAGTATAAAAAATGATATAGATGTATTTTACAAAGCAAGTTAGAGATGAAAAGAAAAAAAACTTCCTCTCATGAAAAATTTAATTATGAAAGACTCGGTAAATGATAATAAACCAGCCCAAAGTACTAAAGGGTGAAAAGTTAGATACATGGAAAAAAAAATTTGAACTATTTATAAAAGCAAGTAAACATACATTGAAACATGGAAAAAGTTAAATCACATCTCGATTTTATCCTTATCACGAACAAGCATATCACATAAATCCAGATGCAGATTTCGTCATAATACATTATGTCACTACAATATAAATATTTTCGACACTCGCTTTTATCCATTTGAATTAATATAGAGTAGTATAAATAAATATATCACGGATTTACCTAAATAATAAAATAAAATAAAATAAATAAATAAATATTTATATAAATATTAAACTTATTCGGCACGCTGCGTGATATATGTGTCAATCAAAATTATTTCGCATTTTCAAAGTCCGTTATATTTTAATAATAATATATATACAAACTATAGTTGATAATACAAAAGTAATACATTTAACAGTAGAATTTCCACTATAAAAAAACAAAGAGGGTATATAATAATATAATATACTAATGTGAATAATAAAATAATGAGAAAGGAAGGAATAACAACTAGTATCTACAAGTTTACTACAAATATATATACAAATTAAAAAAAAAAAATCATGACATGAAAGCAAGAGAAATATACAAATAAAAATTGATAAATTGAATTTTTTAAAAAAAACAATTGTTCAAAACGGAATAACTAAAATAATAGGGAGTATGTGAATGTGATAAGTACATAAAAACGTGATATATCGTACTATCCTACTCTCTAAATAAATATTTATTTACAAATAAAATGTTCATTTATTCTTTCGCTGTTTTTAAACCACACAATTTACCAATAACGTACAACGCGATAACGACATCCAACAAATTGGAATTCTCGATTACCCATGATGAAGTTTCGGGGCCAAGCGTTACGAGCTTGATCCTTTTGTAAAGGACGTGTACCATTATCTTGCGATAATTGTTGTAAAGCGACAGTAGCACTAATTGCGTCATAAAGGTCATGTTCGGTTAAAGGTGATGGTGGTGTTTGATAAGGAGATGTGGGATGAACAGTCGGAGGAGGATACGGGGTGTAAGGATCTATTTGTGGATGACTATGGGTGGTTGTGATATTGGAAGATTTGAATGAATGAGATATTCCATTATGACGGGTTTTAGACATCAAATCGGCAGCTTCGGTAGGTGAGTATTGGTGTTTTACGTCGTAATGTTGAGATGAACTGGAATAAGCTGAATCAGAACCACGACGATCGATAACTAATGATTTGTCTGGATCACATTCAGATGATGAGTTTTCATCATCACCAAGACTACCGTTCTCTGGGGATTGATGCCTCCTTCGCTTGGATAATAGCTGATTTTCTAACATATTCTCAACGAAATGTAAGTCCTCAGCTGTTCTCTTTTGCTTGCGTAAAATAACCAAATGACGATTACTCTCCACGCTTTGAAATTTGGAAAACTGTAGAGATTGATCAACTGAGGAGAAATCATCATGAATTTCGCACTTTACATTATTAGTATTCTCACCGCCATTTTCTTCGATTGGTGATGATATAATTCTACTAGCTTTCATGCCCTTGTCTTTAATATTATTCGTGATAGAAATGTTATCTACACGAGTATCTTTTGGTTTGCGTCGTTGCCGTTTCTTAGTTGGTACTGAATCGGTGAGAGTCAAGCGCCCAAATCCGGGCTGCGTCGGATCTAATGTTTGCGAAGGAAATGAAGGCCCAAACAAAGGAACAAGTTCCTCGCGAACAACATAACATGTCCGACGACAAAGCTCATAAGCCTTTTCATGTGGCATCCTTAAAAAATGTGAAAGAAAGAGTATATTTAAAAGTTAATTCAATAATAATTGAGTGAATGATCAAACCAATCAGTTGTAAGATAAAAAAAAAAAAAAGAAAGAAATTAAATTCACAAACCAAGTTCCTTGGATCTTAAGAAATCCTCCTCTAACTTTTTTAATAGTTGATGCTAAATCCGGATGCGTATCGACTAATCTAGCGATATCAGCTTTGTTATTCCCGAGGGCTTTCCATATACCGGTAAAATGAACGTATCCATTCTCTCGATCCCACATAATTGGCTGGTCGTTAATGATGAATTCATATACTGATATATATAGGATTTATTATTATATAGTGTCAAATGAAAAAAAAAACAACTAAATTAAAATAAAGTTCATTTACCAGGGATATAACCTCGAGAATCCAATGAAGTTGAATATTTTGTTCTCTTGATTTTGATATTGGTAGCAGTATAAGGGCGGTAAGCCTCAGGTTCATTTTTGTTCCCGTCGTCGTCGTCAGATACTTGCTGTTTAATAGTTCTTTTCTTTATCATGACAGATTTGTGTCTCTGACGTACTACAGGTGGTAAATTGTCGGCAACAATTGATTTTTGACCAGTAGCACTTGTTTTAGCGAAAGGTTTTAAAGTTGGAATTAGTTGTGACATAATAAATTGATCAAGAAAGAGAGTGTGTGTATTGTGTTAAGTATAGACACTGATTATGATACAAAATGCTCGAAGGTATGAATCCTTGAACAATTAATTGGAGAACAATTCGTCAACAGAAAGTCTTAAATACAAGTGCACAGTGCAAAGTTAAAAGAGATCAAAAGTTATTATATAATTGTGGAGAAGTTTTTTATTTTTTAAAGAAAAAGAAAAGAATGTTCAACGAAACCGAATTCGGAGTTAATCAATGGTGAAGGTAAATAAGTGGATAGAAAAAAAAAATTAGTTAAATTATAGAATTTTTAAAAACGGCTTTAAGTTAAGGAAGGTATAGTGGGGCAGTTGGCAATAACCGTACAAAATCGTGAAGCAGAAAGAAGTAACAAAGAATGAAGCTTAAGGTAAGTAGAGGAAGGATAAGAAATGAAATAAAGGAAGGCGCGGACGAACTTAAAAAAGAAGACCGAGAACAGTTTCCATAGAAGGAGTATTTGGTAACCCTGAGAAAAATTTAGCCTCAAGATATAATTTGCGCAGTAGATTACTGTACCACCATAGTGATGAGTAAGTCCCCCCCCCACAATTTTATCCTCCCTCTCGTATATTCGCATTGTAAATTCTAGATTTTTGAATTATAAAAACAATGATGTAACGAAAATTGGGAGGGAAACTGCGAAATATTATAAACTAATTAAGGTTACAATAATGTAAATTGTTATCAAACATTTTGTAGTACAATATATTAAGATTTTGAAATAATGTAATCATGCATCGTTAGAGTTTTATTTCTAATTATAATTTTGTACTATACTAAAAATAAACATTTTGGACACGCTCTCGTGACAAATTTTATGATAATCGGGACTATTTTTATCAAATTCCACATACAATTTCAAAGAATTTATTGATATAATTATATATATACATAGACGTGATCTAATTATTTCATTAACTCAATTAGTCCCAACTCGTGTTTAACTTGATCACCGGCAAAAGTAGGTGGATAATGAGAAAGATTCGGCTTAAATGGCTCCAATGGTTGCAAGATTTGGTCACTCGCAACGTGAAGGAAGAAAGTGGACGATATACGCCAGAGAGGACGGTCTGGTCTCGTCTTTTTAGCATCTTCGATTGACTAAACGTAAAACAAGTTAGATAATAATGGATTATGATAAGGAAACAATAAGTAATTACCTTGATCGTATCTTTTGTTACTACGACTTCATGAAATCCAGCTTTTACTTCTCCACCAGTAATCCACTCAAGTTGTTTTCCAGCTTGAACTAAAACAGTGGAATGATGAAAAGTCAGTGTGATCGTTCGATCAAATGTAACAAGGATAACGAAAGAATTTAAACTATGAAATTATGTACCCAAGAGGTGACCATCCGGTACGCGGACCTGCATTTTTACATCTTCATTATGCGGCCAAATATGTAAACCGGGATAACGGGATTTCCCGTGAATCGTCCTTAATTTAGTTATCAAATGTAAATATAAATTTCACAAGTAAAAACAAAATAGTTTTTGTTGCAAGATCTTCCATCTAATAAATTAATACTAACAAGAAATTCAAGTCATAATGAAAACCTATTTAAAACGAATTTATTAGAAACTCATCGAGAATTTACAAATGCAATGCTCATATTGATTTTACCAGCAAAAATAGTTCCAATCTTTCCATACTTGTCTAAATCACTTCCTGTTGGAGCTAATAAATGTGGACCATTTTTTGTAAGATCAGGTAATTTACCGGCATGCATCCCAAACCCGACAGAAGCCATTTCAGCAACACCAAGAACGACACGGTGCATTTGATTTCCCCATTCGTCCATTATGTTTGGCCATTTATCTTTAAATGCTATAAGCGAAAAAGGTTCTGTTAATTTCGGAAGAAAAACGTAATGATTCCTAGAACAACGAACCTTCTGGAATCACAGGATCTGCATTGAGTCGTGGATAATTCGTTGCTTTTGGAATCTCTCCAATTCGCCAAAAGAATCGCCATTTAGGATCGGGCCCAGATATAGGTAAGGGTCTAATTTCCTCTGGTAACTAATCGTAAAACTTTTATGAATACCAATTATATTTTTCTGGTGGAAGTTATAAAATTTCCATACTTGGCTAATTAGTTTCTGGCAGTTGATATCCCGGTGGCATTTAGGTTCTTCCGTGAATTCCGGAGTGACCCCAACTTGATATCCAAGGTCTGGACGCGCATCTTTAAGTTTAACCTTGATATTTCAAATAGATTTGTTAACAAAATCCATATGAAATTATTTTTATGAAAAGGTGGTTACCTCTAATGGCTGAGCGTAATAATCTTCAAGTAAATCCTATTGATATGATATAAAGTGATGACATTTTTATTTATTTATTTTATTTTATTTTTTTTTTTGAATAAAACATTATATACAAACCAAAAAACGAGCATTATCCTCTTCCTTTACGCCTGAGTTACGAACTAATAAAGCGCCATATTCACGTAAAGCATTCGCAACCTAAAACATTTTTGCTTTTAAGCATAACATTTTGTGTTACAGGGTAATGAAAAAGTCTGTATTTAATTCACCTTTTGACATTCATTTATTGCTTCTGAAGCTGTTTTATCTCTCGTAAAAAGTTCCAAATCAATGATAGGAAGAGTAAAACTACTCATATTGAACCTTAGTATTAAATTTAGGAACAAAAACTAATTTAAACTTGTCATCGGACAGGGATTGTTCCGTGTAACATCCCTTAAAAATATTTCGCGTTTTCGCGATGTTTATAAATTACTTATTAGCAAATCAATGAAATTACATAAATTAATCCTCCGAAACTTGTCTAAGCCCTTTTTACAAAATAACTATTTTATTTATGAAATTAAAAGAGAAAGTTAACCATTTTTGCATAATATATTCATTGGAAAAAAAACTTTATTAGCATTTATTTAGAAATGATTTTTCATTTCGATATTTAGTGAAGAAATCAAAAAAAAAAAGTCAAGATTTTCATGATAAAAAAGTTGTTTTTGTCGCATAAATGATGGAAAAATTGAGTCTTGATTCATCATTGTCAAGAACCCGGAAGAACGTTCGTAGTCGTTTGTTGACTGTGGCCACGATGAGCTTTCAATTCGTTGATTCGTGTATTCTATTTACCATGTAACTTCCAACAAAGTCATTCGGAAACAGGGAAGAATGTTCACAACGGATGTACGTTGTGACCAAGAAAGAGCTTTCATTTCCCAGATTATTGTGGCAGAGCAAGCTTCGGATAACTACTCACCCCTAAACTTATTTCGATACTTCTTCCCCTTTTCAAGGAAGATTAAATTTTTAAACAAAAAAATTTTAACCCCAAAACGCCTCATGCCTTGGTTGTTATCTGTTTAGTAGAGGTTAAATGAACAGGAGTGAGCTTTAATCACCGCACACTCGTTTTATCTTACCATAACTAGCAAGCACGACGATGAACTTAAAAGAATTCTTAATTATCAATTTCAGTTTCGTCACAAATCATGATTTTCAAATCAAATAAACCGAATATCTTTTACAGATTTCTTTTTATTATATATATGTATATTATATATATGCAGTTTTTTTTTACTTCTATTAATTTATAGATATAGGAATCCCAGTAATGACATCAAAAACCATTTTCCAAAATTTACCTTTTTTCAAAGCAGGTACAATAAAAAAGTTTAATAAATTTTTGAATTTGCCTAGTTCGATCTTAAATAAATCACATTAAACGAACTTTAGGAGCAACTACACGTTTGTTTTCCACCTTACGGTTTGATTCGAAGGAAGGTGAGCTGCGGTTAGTTTGACTTTTGTTTTTATCGAAATGATTTTGATCATTTCAAGAATAGTTTTAACAATATTCTTACCAATAACATAAAACTATTTTAATCAGCCTTTAGAAGTAATTTAATTCGTGGGTTCGTTACAGAGAGTAAACCAGCAATTTCCTCGAACCCTTCAAAGCCTGCTGACATAACCAAAAAGTCGGAACCTGGTGACTTTGCTCTAGCTAAGCCCGCTAATACTGCAGGTAACCTCATTCTTCAATTATTTTGCGTGTAACAAACCATTACTAATAAACTCTCATTTTCGTTATAGAATATGTGCTGTCTACTGTAGACCAGATTGTAAATTGGTCTCGTCAGGGCTCGATTTGGCCTATGGTAAAAAAAAAATAATAATAATAACTAGTTCGATTTTGATTTTTATTAGTAAATATCATATTTATTATGGCATTTTATCATATTATTATAGACTTTCGGTTTAGCGTGTTGTGCGGGTATGTAAAATAACAATTATTTGGCATAAAATTTAACAAATTTCTTACAATTGTTCATCTTTACAACATTCAGTTGAAATGATGCATATGGCAGCAGCAAGATATGATCAGGATCGCATCGGAATCGTATTTCGCGCATCTCCTCGCCAGTCTGATGTTATGATTGTCGCAGGTACCTTAACTAATAAAATGGCGCCTGGGTTAAGAAAAGTTTACGATCAGGTATGTCAATATCTTATATGACTTTCCTTTCTATAAACATTTGTTGATTAAAATCCTATTTTTTGAATTTAGATGCCTGAACCCCGGTGGGTGATTTCCATGGGTTCATGTGCAAATGGTGGCGGATACTATCATTATTCTTACGCTGTTGTTAGAGGGTATATCTTTATTCATTAGATTTTTTTTTTTTTTAAAAAAAAAAATAAAAAATAAAAAAAAGGATAGTAAATTAAGACAAATTCTATATTTCTAGATGTGACCGAATCGTTCCTGTAGACATATATGTTCCGGGATGTCCTCCGACAGCAGAGGCGCTAATGTATGGTGTATTACAGCTACAAAAGAAAATGAGGCGTTCTAGGGTATTTAAGATTCTTTTAGCTTCAATATGGATTATGCATTAAATTTAGTTCTAATCTCTTCTCTTTTTATTAAGATTACTCAACTTTGGTACCGAAAGTAGTTAATTCAACAACTTGATGCGTTTCATATTTATCATTAAAATAGAAATTCATGAAAAATTATGTAGCGATTTTTTAAGGTGAAATCAAAGAATAAATTTTATGTAATAGCATAATTTTGGTCTCTGTGATCCATACCATATTTTTATATGCTTTATATTTATTTCATAGATTTTATGTACATTTAAGGATTGCCTAATCATATATTTACCATTAACAATTCATCCGTATTTGCGATTTACTTTCAAATAAACATTTTCTCGAATATTTCATTTTCTTACCATATAACTTTTAGCTATATCATCAAAAGTGCTTTTCTTATTAGTTAATAATCATTACTAATTATGGTTATAGGGTTTTTTTTTTACTTTAAACGAATTTCAATGTAAACAAATAATCTTTATAATAAATTTTTTTTTGTTTCTTGTAAATGATGAAATGTTGCATTGTTAATCCAAATTTGAATGATTATAAGTATAAATAATTCAATTTATTATATAATATTATCCTTTGGATTAGAAGATCACATTACAAGAAGTTTTTTTTTTTTTATTTAGTGTGTTATTTTATATAAATGGGTTGTACATGAAACGCATCTCTGATGTACATATATATACACCAAGCTAAAATTATAGCACTATAACTATAATTTAATACAACTTTTTAAATTTGCGTTTGATACTCGGTAAAAAAAACAAGGACGTTTTTCTTCGTGGACAGTAATTCACATAACTTTAAGAGGTAACAAAGGAAGTAAAGGGTTCAAGAAATAAAACTAAACTACTTTAAACAAAGGTATAACTATAAAGAAAAGAACAGGTTGTTTATTTTGAGATAACATAAAAAAAAATACCATGACCGCAGAACAAAAACTAAGAATAAACTATTTTTATGATCGTAAGTAACTTATTATTCGTTAAGTTGTGAAGGAAGGGTTGGTGTTTTATTATCTTTTGAGTTCTTATGAGAGTTCGTTAGCTTTGATATAGGTCAAAATATCAGATATTTTTGGGAGTAAGGAAAGCGAAAATTATCCTTGATATTTCATCAAATTTATATGGTGGCTATCTTAAATATTTTTTTAGATGCGCTCGGCATTTTTACGCATGGTACAAATCATCCTATGAAGCCCTTTAGAGTGAGGATGACTCATAATCTAGTGATGAATTATGGATTATGCAAGAAGATGGAAATTTTTGTATGGAGTTTTAAAAGTTTTAATTTGATATTATTGTTCTTGTAATGAAAAGACTCGAATTAAATCAATTATTGTTCTACAGAGACCAAAACCAAGTACAATCGATGAATTAACACAATTTCATACGGACGATTATATAAATTTTCTGGGTAAGGTGACTCCGTCAAATATGGAATCATGTATAAAAGACTGTACCAGATGTAAGTGCTGTACTTTTCTTGACTTATTCACATTTTTAAATGATGGTGGATTGTTAATTTATGCGTTCATTTTTTCTTGTCAGTTAATGTTGGTGATGATTGTCCGGCTTTTGATGGCTTACTTGAATATTGTAGACGAGCAACGGGAGGTTCTCTCGGTTAGTAAGTGTTTCCTTTGTTCAATGCAATTTTATTCCTATTTTTATTATTTTTATTTTAAGTTTTTTCTGATATTTCATAAACTTAACAGAAGGTGCTGCAAGATTAAATCACGGGCTATGTGATGTAGCCGTAAATTGGGCTGGGGGCTTACATCATGCCAAAAAGCAAGAAGCAAGCGGGTTTTGCTATGTAAACGACATAGTGGTCGCAATATTGGAACTATTAAGGTAAATAATTTCGGATGAGAATTCTTTATCAATATCCGTATTTGATAATTCATTGTAAGAAAATAAATGATTTATTTATTAAAAAAAAAATAGGTACCATAAACGTGTACTTTACATCGATATCGACATTCATCATGGAGACGGTGTGGAAGAAGCATTTTATTCAACAGACCGAGTGATGACATTGAGTTTTCACAATTTTGGTGAATATTTTCCAGGAACTGGAGATATACATGTATGTTTGCATTCTCTTCCGTGAATAATATGAATAATGGCAAAAGCTAGGCGGTGGGTTTTTTTGGTCGATAAAATTTATCATGTAACGTTTATACATTAATCTTACACATTCATTGCATTTAAAATATAGGATATGGGTATTGGAAAAGGAAGATATTATTCTGTGAACTTTCCATTGAGAGAAGGAGTTGATGATGCGACTTATAAAAGTGTGTTCGAACCGGTAAATATTCACTCGAATTATTTTTTTTTTTTGGCAATAATTGCGACCATTTTAAATAGAATTAACTTACGAAAAATCTATTTAGGTCGTTTCACATGTGATCGATTGGTATAAACCTTCAGTAATTGTCTTACAATGCGGCGCTGATTCATTAAGTGGTGATCGGCTTGGATGTTTTAACTTATCATCTAAAGGTAAAGAAGCGTTTCTCCTGTATTTATTATTAACATCAATTCAAGATGTTCGTTGTATTGATCACTAGAATAATTATGACAACATAGGTCACGCGGATTGCGTTCGATTCGTTAAGAAATTCAATATACCGATGTTGGTGTTGGGTGGCGGTGGATATACCATCCGTAATGTTTCAAGAGCTTGGGCATACGAGACTGGAGTTATTGTTGGGCAAGAAATAGGACCAGGTTTAAAATTTTTCAAATTTATTTAATTTTTGTTTATGTTCAAGATATTGATTAATTATATTTTTAAAAAATAAAAGGGCTACCATCGAATAATAGTGGTAATGATTATTTTGGTCCGGAATATACGTTGATGGTTCATCCTAGCAATATGGAAAATAAGAACACGAGAGAATATTTAGAAAAAATCATGTAAGACTTTAAATTTTTTTTTTTTAAAAAAAAAGGTTTTATATATCTATTTTGTAATTTATTTATTTTTGCTACAAAACTTTAGCTAATTCATCATTAAATTCGTAAATTATAGGATGACAATATTTGAAAATTTGGATCGATCACGACATGTACCAAGCGTTCAAATACAGGGTTCAAACTTATGATTTAATAATTGCATGTTATTGAAACTTTTTTTTTCTTTAATTAACAATTTATCTTTGTGAACTATTCTTTAACAGATATACCGGGAAAAAACCATATATTTGATGACATTAATGAAGATGAAAATGATCCTGATGAGCGAATATCACGTATGTTTCTTCAATGTTTATCTTGATAATTATTTATTGCAATTTGAACCAATATAAATTGTCTCATCATTATTAGAACAACAATATGATAAGCATATCGTACCGGACAATGAGTACGAAGACTCATCTGACGAAGAAAGCATATATAATTCCATCATTCCTGTTGAATATGGTCCTTCAAAATATGTAAGGTCCTATCGCCACAAGATAATTCAAAATCGCTCGCAAAAGAATCTATTAAGTAAATTAGAACCTACAGTAAAATACTCTGATATAATATATCCTCAAAATAATAACAATGGACAATTTTCGATGGAAGTATTAGATGAGGTGATTATGGTAGAAGCTAATAGTCCCAAAACAGACGGGATTGTGTCAACATATCCCGTCCGTGATAAAGTTTATACTTTGAAGCCAAGGAGAAATGGAAGCATAAGTTATTATGGTCAAGTAGGTTCAAGTATAAACGGACTGTAACCTAAATCAATTTTTTTTCTTTAATTATTTTATTAATTTTGGTTCAATTTTACAATTTATAATAAAATCAAGGCGTAAAATCCATTTTAATTATTCACAAATCATTAACATTCATAGTATTTCATTTTTATTAATATTGAGCAAATTTAAAGGTAATTTATTAATTAACAAATGCACTTTTTATTAATACTACTCAAATTCAATATATTTTTAAAGTTATCAGATTAGTTAAATCTGTACGTTTTTGAATTTAATAATAAAATTTATATGTATTTTTATTTAGAAAATAATAACTTTTGGAATTTAAAGATGTTGCAAAATAATAATAAAAAGTGGTAATAAGTAATCTTAAAGCCAAGGAATGCATTTTCCATATAAATTTCGGTTCTTTCAATTCAAATTAAAAATTCGTCGGAATTTTTAAATAATCAGGTAATTTGTCCGGCAAAACTCCAAATTAAGAGTGTCCAGGATTATGCTGTGTAAAATACCACATTATAAAATAAATTATGCTATTACAATGTCAAAGTTTTTTTATAGTAATTTAAAGTTCCAACTCCTTGCTTTTAAGGACTCAGGCAAAAACTAAACTATAAAGAATTATTAGTAAAGTAATAAATTATGCGTTTAAAATTTGGCCAAAATAATTTATAATTTAAAAAGGAATTTATTTATACACCGAACCTATTAATTTTTCACTATTAAACGAAATAAAATTTAACATAATGATAGATTCTTTATATAATTGATATCTTCTATCACTTAAAATATTTTTGTAAATACATTCAGCATCCACATCTGAAACTGGAAGCCAAATATAAATTAATGTTATATTAGTTAATATTGATAAGATATTTTTGTTTTTTATCTAATTAAAATCCTTCTCTGAATTAATTATTTTCATTAAGATTACTATTCTTAAATTAAATTTAAATTTGGAATTTTAAATTCAGGTATAATAGAATATAATAGTTCTTTCTATTAAAAAATGAATATCTTTTAGATCAAACATTAAATAGCTTCAAAAAGTAATAAAGCTGAATAATTTAAAATAAGTTTTCAAATTTTTGTTATATATTTTTAAATACATGTATTTCTTTTACACATGAAATTATATATAAGTTATAGATTACTTACAAATCTTGAAAAACTACTAACTAAAAATAAAATTTAATTTAATTATTTATAAAATTATCAAAATAAATAAATAATCATACCTTTTAACATTAAAATCAATAAAATCAATAAATATTTTAATTATTATCATATATAAAATATTGTTAAAATAATTACATATATTTTATACTGATTTACTAAGGATTTCCAAATACAAAAATTTTATATAATGAACTCTGTTTAGAAAATAAGCAAAATATACAGCCAAATTTAATTAAAATATTTAAAATCAGCAAAAATAAATAAAGTGTATGACGAAAATCTTATGTTTATTGAAAATTTTAAGTAAATTTAACTATAAAACTATAGGTTTAAACTAAAGGTGTCATTCATTTAAATATAAATTATTTGAATTGCATTCAGTCAAAAAAATCCATTCGTATATATTGTACAAATAATTTGAATTTTAAATAGATAATCTGTAATTCTCAAATTTTGATCAGATTTACCAGATTTTATCAGATTTAACAAGTTAATACAGGTTATAAATACAGCAACAAAAAAAATCAAAAATAAAACACTTTTATTTCATTATTTTATTGTAAATTTGTAATATTAATTTGTGTTTTATTATCATATTTATTGTATTTTTTACAGATTATATTATATTATTTATTTTATAATAAAGATTTGTGAATTATATCCAAAATATTATAGTTTTTTTTCAAAAATATTATTTCTTTTAAAAAATTCTGAACTGATACATATTCTTTTAGAACTTATTAAATTCTTATATCTGAAAATAGTCTCTCATTTGAAGTTGAGATCACTGATATTGAGAGATAAGCATGTATTAATTCACTTAATATTGGAAAATTTTCTTTATTACCCCTCTATCAAGAAAAAGGATTAGTATTAAATAGTATTTGTAAAATAACAAGATATTCATCAAGTTCATTTTGACTATTAGCAGGTGATAGATGATTAAAAATATCAAAAAGGTTGATTGATAAATGTAAAGAATGGTATAGGTCTAATAAAAAGAGTAAATAATTATAACAGATATAGGTAATTAAGAGGACTATGAGCATGATGACATTCTAATTTCATGTTCCTATACTTTTCTTTCAAAGAGTTTAGGATTTGTTTCATTTCATGGAATATAAAATCAAACTTTTTAATTTGAAGGTTAAGAATTAATAGTAGATATAATATTTCACAATTATTTTTTCAATAAAAAAACATTACTTAATACAAAATATTTTTTATTTTTTTTAAAATTCTTAAAGTTTGCATAAGTTGATTTAAATCTACATTTTTTGACTTCCATAATATTTTTTTCATTATTAGAATTGTCTAAATTATCTTGATCTTTATTCTATACAAAAATATTTTTCAAATTATTATTATTAATAATATTTATTATATTTTTAGGTTTAAGCTTATTAATGATTTTATTTATTAAAGATTTTATAATACTATGAGTAGAATAATTATTACTCTCAAAATATCTGGTTGCTTTTTCAAAAAATCTTAAATAAAAATTAAATCACAGAATAAATCTCATTTATAAATTGTTAACATTATTTTCTCTTTAAGAATCTTTTTTAGAGTCTTGATCAGTTTCTTTAGCTAAACTAGCTTTAAACAGTAATGTTTATTTTTGATGTTCTAAAAATTTGTTATTCTAGCTATATGTCTAAACTTATTTCACACTATGTCTCAAATGTCCTATTTGTCCTATTTATTTCCCATCAGCGTCCTATTAGTGTCTCATCAATATCCTATGATAATACTAACTTTAAGTATATGAATATATCTCTTTAATTCTATAAGCTAATACTAAACTAGATAGCTAAAATTTCAACGAGTTAGAACATCAGTAATTTATATACCTTAAATATTTTGCAGTTTTATCACATTTTAAATTATATAATCTAAGTTAATATATTTAATATTATATTATAGAAATATATATAATCTAATAAAATTAAACTTACTATAAGTATTTTTAAAAAATTATTGAAATTCTAATATAAATTAAATTTTAAAAAAAATAAAAATACAGATAATTAAAATTATTAAAAATTTAAATAAACATAACAATTGTATAAGCTGTTTTTGAATTTTTTCAAGATATTCTGATTGTTTCAAATTATAAATAATTAATAAGATATTTAATATGACTAACTAATAATTTAATAAATGTTAAATCTTTTTCAATTATAAGTTATAATGTATACACAATATAAGGCTACCAAGTTATATTATCTGCTATTAATTCCAAATCTTTGATAATTTTTCACATATTAGAACTATTATTTATAGTTATCATAAAAGTTTTATTTTGAAATTCTCATTCATTTAACATTGCAAATAATATATTATCAATATGATCAGTTGTATAAGAATACAAAATATATTGAATCAAAAGAATAATTTCATAAAGTTAAAATTTAGGATCAAGGTATAAACAGGTTATTTTTAAAAACTTTTAGCAATTACATCCTGTTCAAAGATCACAAGTTAAAGATACTACATTAGTATCCTTTTCTAATATTTTATAATTAATGGTTATAAATAATTATATATCTAATGAATAAGTTTCTTAATATATTTTGAATTAAATATTTGAAATTTTAGATCTAATTGAAAATTAATTGTTTAAATGTAGATTTTAAAAAAACTATAAGTGATTAAGAATTATATATAACCTAATCTGTAAGATCTGATACAATTTAAAATAACATGATTTTTATGATAAATTTCTTTAAAAAAGATATTCTTAATATTTTAAATTTGATTTACCTATTTTTTTTTAATAAAATTTTATTAGATTTTATTTTATATAATTAATAAATTAATAATAAAAAATTTATTCATATTGACCTTCTTTTGTTCTTGAATTATTTCATATTTACTTATAAGATAATCAGAATAGTTACTAGTTGATATTCCTATTTTATAAGTTTTTCACATTTCTCTTTAACTACTTCTTCTACTTTACAAACTATATACTATATTTCTTTTCTAAATTAGATTTAAAATATTTTTAAATTCAGCTTCTAACTTTATTTTCTTTACATTTTTTATTTAACTTTATTATTTTTTGATTTATTTACTCAAGTTCAATATCTCTATTATTATTATAAATTTCTTCAACTTCAGTTATTATTTATTATATATCATATTATCTATATAAAATATAAGTAAAAATAATAAAAATAAATAATATGTAATTTATTTTGCATTTTTTGTATCTGAATGTATCATATATTATATAAATATATAAATTTATTACTATCAATTAGGAAACTTTAAAATTATATGAATTTTACCAGATTAAATAAATTTATATAGATAATCTAGTGAAAATTTGATCAAAATTTTTGTAATATATATATTATCTATTCAAATAAACTTAATATTAATTATAAATTAAATTTAAATTTTGATTGAATAATAGAATTTCAAATGATCAGATCAAACCTCTAGTTTAAACTACATTATATATAATAAATATTTAATCATTATCATTATCATTTATTTTTTTTTTTGTATTTTTCATAATTTTATTAGTATTATTATATTATTTTTAGTATTAATAATAATATTTTACTAATAATAATATAATGTTAATTGCAAATAAAATAACTATAATACTTTATTTATCTATTTTGATATATTATGAAATAACTCTTAATATTACCTAAAGGTATAAAGAACTGATATGAATATACTTCATATATAAATTATATCTTATTATTAATTATTATTGGTAAAATCATAATTAAAATTAGTTACTAAGTTAAAAAGTTTAACATGAATTTAATCAGCATCTATTTCATCTAGCATTTTACCTCTAATATAATTTATATTACATTTCTATAATAATAAATAAATTTTAATTAAGTTTTTGATTTTTAAAATTTTTATAAAAATTTAAATTTACTATAAATACTATTATAATTTTATAATAAAAATTAATAGTATTTTATATATAAAAAAGAATAATTTTTAGCCTTAAATTTTAATAATTATAGATTCAGTTTTGTAGTTTTAAATACTTTTTTATATATAGTAGTCCATTATAAAAATATTCTTTTATACTAATTAATTTATTATTAATATATATTTGTTTATATCTTAAAACAGTTGCTAATTCAATTAAATTATCATCTGTCTCAACTACAAAATTCTTTTGATTATTTGTTATTTTATTATTAAATTTTTAATATTCTTTTTATATATATTGATCAAATACAGCTAATTTTAATAAAATATAAATTAAATATTTGTAATACTTTTATTATAACAAATTTCATAAATACATATTACAGGTTTCTTTCATTTTTTACATAATAAAGGTAATTTACTGCATTTTTTTTTGTACATTACAATTAATAATATCAAAAATGAATTCTCTTAGTATTCAAATAAAATTTTTATTCTAATTCTTTATTTTTAATTATTAATCAGAATAGTTTAGGAAATTATACTTTATTATAATATGATATTAATATTATAATAATATTTGATCAATTTAAGAATCTTCAAAAATTTGAAAATTATTAGATAGGTTTCTTTATCATTATTATTAGTATTTCTAGTTAAATCATTAAAGTTATTATATTCAAAATATGTAAAGTATTTCAAATTCTAATAATATATTCAGATAATTTATAATTAATTTCAATACTTTATAAAATTAAATTTATTGCTTTTAAAATCTGTAACAACTATTTATTTCTATTAATAATAATTAAAAATTAAATATTACAAATTTTAATATATTAAAATCAATATTAAATATATTAGAAATTTAAATAAATTTTGAGAGTTAATCTTTTTACAATTAAAAAACAAATATTATACTCATCATTATTATCTGATTTTATTAAATTTTTTAAATAATAATTAAAATTATTTTAAATATTTTTTATTTATCATTAAAAAATTTAAAATAGTAAAATCTTCTATTATTTGCTATACATAATTAAATATATATTATAAAAAAAACAGTAGAAATAAATTATAGACATAATAGGATTTCCAAATAGTAATTTGAAAAATAATGAATCAAAAAAATTAAAATAATATCAAGATAAATAAAATTATCTTTTGATTGTCAAAATATACTATATTTTTAAAAATTATATTTACTTTTATTTAATATTAAATAATATTATATTATAATAAAAATATTATTGTTATTTATATAAATTAAAGTTTTACAATAAAATAATAAAAATCATCTTCATAAAATAAATCATTATTATATTTAATAACATGTTAAATTATGGTTAAATGAGCCAATATATTAGTTAATTTATTATTTACAGTTTATCAATATTAAATAATTAAATAATTATTTTTATCTTTTAATATATTAAAAGAAAAAATTTTTTAGCAAATTTAATTTTTTAAATTTAATATTTTATTTGTTAAACTTATTTTTATATTTTTTTAGATATTAAAAGTATTCTATTCATATAACAAATTACTAATTAGACAAATACAAGTACCTCTATTATGTATATTTTAAGTTTTTAAATTATTTATTTTATTAATTTATAAATTATAAAAAATAATATATTAAAATTTTTTGATATTTTTTTTAATATAATAAAAAACATTAGTTTTACTAATTAAAAATTAACAATTATTAAGTAATTATATCTTAATTGAAAATTTTTTTATAAAAAAATATATTATTTTAAATCATTAAATGATATTATTAAATAATAATAAAGCTAAACTAATTTAATTATCTATTATATATTATAAAAGTATAAAGAAGAAGAGAATTCAAATAAAAAAAATTTTATGAAACTAAATAACTTTTATATAAAATTACATCACTTATGTATAATTAAAAATTATTATTATATAATAAAAAAACTAATTAATATGATTTATCTTTTGTTTTTTTTATACTATTAATCTTATTTTTTAATTATTTATAAAATATTTTTCTATTTTTATTACAATTACTATATAATAGTATTTTTTAAGATACAGTTATAAAATCATTATTTATATCATACTATATATATAATTAAAATCTCTCTAATTTTAACTTAATTTTAATTTTAGATTTCAGACAGTTTTAGTTTAAGAATATTATTTCTAAAATTAAAATATCAATTAAAATTTAAAATATTAATCAAAATCTAAACTTCAACTAAATCCTATTATTAGATTAAAACCTTAAAATAAAAATGGTCAAAATCAGTTGATCTAATATTTTGATTTTAATTGATAAAAAATTTTTTCTTACTATATTTTAATAATTTACATTATGATTATATATTATCAACAGAGTAATTGATCAATTATAATGAAGTCACGTGTATAACATAATATGATGATCTCTTAATCTAAAATTCTGAAAATACTGAGAATTCTGCAAATTCTGAAAATACAGAAAATCTACGTAATTTTGAAGATCTTTCAAGTACTAATGATAATCCTAATTTTACGAATTAAAAGAAATCTAAGAATATTTAGTGTTATATTTATTTTTAATATTCTAAATTTTATTGTTATTTTATTATATTTTATATTTTTATTATTTTATATATTTTTATTATTTTCAATATATCTATTTTACTTATATTTTATTTCACTAA